TAGAAACTGCGCCCATATGGGATCCCGGGTGTGCAAGGCGAGGACCTTAACCACTGTGCCATCGCGCTGGGCCCTTGTCAACTTATCTTAATTCCTTGATCCACTGCCTATATTTTAAAGACACATGATGCGAGTAATGAACTTAGATGTTTTTGCAAAACTCAACTGGAAAACACAAAATCCTTAGCATAATGATTGGAATGCCATAAAATTCAAATAATATTAGCTATAATAATTTCTTTACATCTAAATGGAAGAGAAAGTCAAAACACATAAAAGGAAGATAGATCTGTAGATCAATTCCTCAAATAGCTATAGCAGCTTACACAAGGCCAGGCTGAACAGGGGAGCCAAACACTCAATCCAGGTTTTTCATATGGTTATAGAAATCCAACCACTTACTATTTGACACCTTTCAAATATTTACTTAATAGGAAGTTGGGGTAGGAAATGGATCTCACATCTGAACCATAGAACTCCAACATGGGATGTTGTGATCTCAGTTGGCATTGTAACCCCCAGACCTATGCCATGATTATATATAGATATATATATATTTTTTTAATCACTCTTTTAAAAGTTAAAAAAAAAAAAGGCCACAGCATTAAATTGTGTCTTTGTAAAACCATCACACTATCTCTCTAAAAATGTCTTCGGCAATTTTCCAGAAAATTAAGATATAGTAAATGCTGGATTAAGAAAGTAGTTTTTTGTTTATTTGTTTGTGTGTATGCTTGCTTGTTTTTAACCTGGAGCGCTTAGAGAACATGTTACGAGTTGCATTATTTAATCTCTTCTTTTTGCAAGAAAGAAAAGCCTTTCTAGAATGTTTAATGTTACATATGTGTTGTGTGTAGCATTATGGCCCAGCTGTCTGACAGAGGCATCCCATTCTGGAACATAGGTTCAAGTCCTGGATGTTCTGCTTTGGATTCATTTTCTTTTTAGATCTCTGGAAAAGTAATAGAAAACTGTCCAAGATATTGGGCCCCTAGAACTTATGCAAAATTCTCAACTGCAGTCCTAGGCTCCTGGCTTAGTCTGGCCCAGCCCTAGCCCTTGTGGCCTTTTGGATGGTAAGCCAGCAGGTAGAGGATCTCTTTGTCTCTTTCTGTCATTCTGCCCTTTTTAAACAAATGAAAATGTACTGACAACAAAGAAAGCAAAGAATTTTGACACAGACTCAATGACCAATTATAAAATAGAATCTGAGGGCCCAGCGCCATAGCATAGTGGTTGGGGTCCTCACTTTGCATGTGCCGGGATCCCATATGGTCGGCGGTTCTGGCCCCAGTAGCTCCACTTCCCATCCAGCTCCCTGCTTGTGGCCTGGGAAATCAGTCGAGGATGGCCCAAAGCTTTGGGAACCTGCACTGACGTGGGAGACCCGGAAGAGCTCCTGGCTCCTGGCTTCAGATTGGCTCAGCTCCAGCTGTTGCGGCCACTTGGGGAGTGGACCATTGGACGGAAGATCTTCCTCTCTGTCTCTCCTCCTTTCTGTACGTCTGACTTTCCAATCTCTCATCACATGCAGATTTCTCCTTCATTCTTTCTTGTTTTACACTTGTAAATGCTCTTTCCGATTCTGAATGTACAAGAAAGCAATTTGATGGGTCCATTTATCTTCTCCGTAACACTCAGCAAATGATGGGTTAGGTTGATGGTGGATACACAATCATCCAGATAAAGCTGATTCTTAGATTAGGTAGGAAGTGAGGTCAATCCCTCAAATGGGACACAAGAAACTGAACCAACACTGCATTAGCAAATCTACTCAAGGATCAAGATCAAAGCATGAATACAACTCATATATCACAAAAAGCAACAGAAGGAGAAATGGTCAAAGAAGCATTTAAAATAAAATGAATTATGAATTATGTTTAGAAATACAGAAACTGAATTATGTTTAGAAATACAGAAGCAAAGCAAAATGGAAAAAAAATAAACAAAGCAGTATTGAGATAGTCCAAGATACTTGTGAAAAATAGGACTGAAAGATAAGTTTATTTAGTCCAAAACTTTTGAAATCCAAGCATGTGGTAGATCTTCAAAAAGCTGATTTAAATACTATGACAAAAATGATGCACAAATTTAAATTGAGTTTTTTTCTTAATTCCAGATTCCAGCAAAATTAGAAGTTATATTTAATCCTATATTTCTGTGCTTGTATTCAGATTGAGGTATAGTAAGCCAAGCTTTTAAGCAAAGAATAGGAAAATGACATGTTAGTTGTCTGCCTTGTTAGCAATCACTGCTACCTTCCTTTGAACTCTGTTTTCACCCAGTTTGATCTATTGTGAAGTTTATGTTAATCCCCACCAGTTCACAACTTCTGAAACCATTTCTCTTCAAAGAAAGAAAAAGTACATTTCTATCTAGTATTTCAGAAGCTCGCCATATTTGTTTGATTATAACATATAAATTAAGGAGTTATTTGGAAATAAACTTGAAATTATTGTTGAGATGTATATCTTGGCTTTTTAGTTAGGAGAGAGATGCAAGAATCAGCAATAAGATAAATTCTGTCCCCCAAAGCTCTTGTGTGTGGAGAGAAACAATTCAAATAAAAGGGTTGGTATGGAACGATAGATATGGAAGTGTGGGAAGCAGCGCATGGATACAAATATATGCTTGTATTGAAAGGTTCAAGCTAGCTTCTTAAATGACTTGATAGAGACTTGTAATGTAATTTATTGCTGTATTCTCCCAATGGGCAACTGGATTTTTTATATACTTAGAGATTTGCAGACTCCATATTAGTTTAAATTATTTCCCATTGTTTTTGAGAATCACATAAACATGCATGAGATTATTAGTGAACTTTTATGTTATCTAAGGTCGCAATGACAAATGATCACTCCTATTTCACTTTTAAATCTGTTTTTTCCCATTTTTTAACACTTATCTTCATTTTAAACATGCTCTCACTAGCATAAAGTAGACTGCATTTATTCCTACTGTGACACCTGCCTAAGCTTTCTATTTCTTTCTGTGAATCATCTTTTTAAGTGTAGCCTATCACTTCTTCAAGAACTCAGTTCAAGGTCTATTACACAATACATTGTCCAAGCACTGCAGCACTGAAATGCTTAGACATCTTCATTCTCCTGCCAGTAGATTCACAATTGACACACTATCATTACTGCTAATGTTTCATCCCAAACTCTTTCTTAATGCTTTATTGTACAAATATGTTATGTTTATGTGTTTATAAACATGTATTCAGTATCAAGTAATGTATCCATTATTCTGTGAATGTATTTCTTTTACTCACTAAAGACAGAACAATACCTGTAACACAGTTTACGTAATCGATCTACCATATTTACAGTGAAAAGGACCCAAATTTGTTGTGGTCTCAGGCAGCCAGTTCAAGGTCACCAGCTTGAAAGCCACACCTCCCTCTCCTACATGATCTTATCCGCCTACCTATGACACTTACCAATCATGATCTGGAACCTGAGAGAGGGCGGTATTGTGTTGGTGCGTAACCATTCCCCTCACAAACCCCTCAATAGGCCCATGCTGGGGAGAGAGGGCTCTGTGCCTCATCTGTGCCTCATCTGCTTTCATCACTCTTGCACTCTCCAGCACCTGTTTGCTCTGTGGCTGTCCAAGGACAGACTCTGAGGACGGGTCGTCCCTGAGCATGGTCCCTGTATGTCTGTATTACTCAGCCTCTGCTCACTGCTTGGCCAAGTCAGTGAAGTTGCTAATGCAAAGATGCTTTGTATTTCTAGTTTGTCTACTTTCAAGAGTTCCAGGAGAGATAAGTCCTACAACAATGGAAAATGGACAGGGAGGCCAGGAAAAAGTGAATGTTTGCAGTTTTGTGTGTCCAGATTGTTTGTTGCATGTCTCTTAGGATAACTTATATTGCTGGGGAAGCTGGGACATAGGTTTTCAGTTTACTGGATGGGCTTCATGGTAAGGGTTATTTGTACCTTTCAGGGTTTCAATTCAGAATGGATAACCACTGGACTTGCATTTGCTAATTTCTGGTGTGTCCTCTCATCACCAAGATTGATTAACAAAGATTCCTTAATACATCCTAGATATATCTGGCATGGTACTTTTTGCATGTTAAGTATGCAATGTAAATATAAATGAGATGACAAAAAAACTGCTACATCATTTTTATGTGTCAAGTATTCCAAAAACATATTTCTAGATAAATATTAATCGCATAAAAAATTCTTGTTTCTATAGAGAATGATTCACACTTTAAAAACTGGCCTTATGTCACAGTGCTAACACTAGATGTAAAACTGGATTCCGAAACACAGAGAGGGAAAATACAGGTTTTAGAGGTTTTGTTTGTTGGCTATTTAAGAAGTAGAAGTAAGGCAAAATATATGTGTGTAAATACACTCTAAATTGAAACAACAAAACTGCAATCATTACATATCCACCTAAATCTACATAGATTGCTTCAAATCCATAAGTCATTAGACACGTCAACTAAAAGCCTTTTACGCAAAGGGATATTTTCAGCATTGAACAAATGCATTCTTTTTGTTTAAAATATATTTCATGTTTCTAGTTAACATAAGCTAAATGAAACTAAGAAATTAAGTAAGTCATATACAGACTCCCTCAGTTCATAAAATTTAATTTTTACCAGAGTAAATTTATTCCCATATAATTATCTGAAGGCATGCTCAATTCTGACATTTTTTTCAAGCTTGGTTTTCTGCTTTATTTTTTCAGTTCTGAATTTAGTCAAGGAAACTAAGTTCAATAGAAAATATTGAAAAGGTATAAAATTATGTTAGCGCATTTCAGAAAAATTAGGAAAGAAACCTAAATTTACTAAGACCATGCAAACACAGACATAAAACAAGTATTTATCATTGAAATAGCATGCATTTTTAGAAGTTTATGAGCCATATCCATTCATTCTATTACCACAGACAGAGTTGTTTCCATAAGTAAATTGAACTTAGATAATGGAGGGAAAAAATAATCACAAAAATCATGCAGAGTTTATAGGAACTCACCTTTAACTTTATTTTTTGAAGCAGCCGCTGGTGCCAAGCAAAGGTTGCACAAGAAGAAAAGAATAAACAAATTAGATATTAGTAGGTTTTTCAGTAAGAAAAAAGTAAACATTGTTAGTACTAACATCTAAAAGGAGAACATTTGTGTTTGTAGTAGTAACACTGTTAAGATGCATTGGATTTATGAGAAAGACAACGACCTTAGTTATAATTTGTTAGTATGTTATCAAAATTCTGAATAACAAGAGGATGAAAAGGACCACCAGTAATTAAACTTCTTTCAAGAAATATATCAGTTTATTTTTGTAAGTTTTTCTAAAGCTTAATTTGCAATCAATTAAAGAAATTCCCTAAGATATTTTAAATTCATTTCATACAATTTAACATTTAAAATTGACCTAGGTTTGAAGAAGTTACAATTTATTTGTGAAAAATCACTAGAGTCAGTTGAGTGGCTTGAGTGCTGGGTTTTCCCTCTCTAAGGACAACCTCTATCCTTAACTTTGTTTCTCTTTTCTCATAGATTTGGTAACTGAAATTTACAAAGATCAAATTAGTTGTTGAAAATAGCACAGCTGGAAATTCCATTTGGGATTCAATCCGAGGTGTATCTGACTTCAAATTCTGTCCTCTAGGATTCTGCCTTTTGCTAGGGGGAATTAAGGAAATGAGTCCCCACTAAACTGCAAGTGTTAATTCCAGAGAACCAAATCAAACTCCTCTGAATCATTAAATTCCAGCTATCTTGGTACTTGGTTGACCATGTAGTTATGAAACTAGAAAATTTTGTTACTTTAAATGAAATTAATCCCTTAGGAAATTTAAGATTATTTATATCTAGCAGTAAACATGATTTGGGGCAGAAATAAATTTAATGAGGAAATTAGAAAAGTCCTATAGGACAGTGCTTTACCCGAAGGAAGATTGCTAACCAAAATGCATAATTAGATATCTCTAAACACTTTCTGAAGTGATATATTCTACTTTAATTTGGACACTATTTTAAAATGAAGACTGAGAGAGGGAGAAGCACTTTTTTACTCTAAAAAATAATGAAGATGAACTAACCTTTCCCAACATGGGGAATATGCAGTTTTTAAGTTTGGCAGATTGAATTTTAGCAAAATTTAATCAAAATTTTAGTGCTTATCAGCAGCATATGGAAGTTTTAAAATATATACTTTACTTTTTGCTGGATATTAAAAGTGAAATAAAAATTCTAGAAAGTCCAGATACATGCCATATTCTTAAGAGAACTTCATACTTAGCAATCATAGTTCTGAGATATCTGACTATTGGCATTTATCTTCTGCTAGCTCACTTAAAATCAAACATAAATAAATCAAATAAAAATAAATCAAATAAAAAGTATCTTTTTCAGACAAAAATATGTTCAATAACAGCCATCATTCAAACTGCGCCTATTCCATAGCTTCAAAGTGAAGGGAGAATGCTGAGTAGAGAAAATGCTCACAACATCATTTCAAATATTAAAATAATTAAAATTATACACTCACAATTCATAGAACCAAAATGCCATTAATAGATGAGTAAAATATTTGTTTTAATAAGGATGTGACAAGTCACAGGATTGATACAGAGAAGCCCAATATTAAGTGCAGCATTTAAGCTCAGATACATATTCCATTATAATGAGTGGTATTATTTTACTGGGTTGTTTACTCCTAAAATCAAATTTTATACAAATTAAAAAGATTTCTCATGATACTGCAAACAATATTTATTTTACCTAATATCAGCTGAGATAATAAATGCTAATAGCTTATTAATGTTGCAAAATATAAAGCAGTTCTTTCAAAATGTTATTTTAAACTAATTTTATTTTATTTCCAGAAACAACATCTTACTTTACTCATACTTGTCAGAGTGCTTTTCATACATTTTCCCAACTGTTATATTACATTTAAATTTATTCACTTTCATACTTGCATATTTTCGATAGTTTATGTAAAGCATGATACATTTTCCTATTATTAGAATATTTGTAGTAGTTTTTTTCTACTACTAGTATTTGTGCAATATATGTTGTATAATTCCCTTATGCACTTCAGTGCAATTTTTTTTTCTTTAGGATACATTTTAAAACTTCTTTTCTGTTTTTATCAGAAAAACACAGACAATATCAATCCTTAAATAGTTCCGACAGAAGGCTCTGTATGTTTGGAAAGGAACTGTGTAGTGGCGTTGAGTGCTCTAAAATAAGAATGAGCCAGAAAAAGACAAGGACAGAGAGAAAAAGGTACAGAACATGTTTCTCAAAATAACTGATACACTACAAAGCTGTTAAGTCTTTTAAGTCAAAATCTGCCCCATTTAATTCCTGGCAATTTGTTTTTCCAATTAAAGTTCAATTTTTAATCATGTAGTATAATTATAGTACCTTTTAGAGTTCCAAGAAACTTTAATTATTTTCATTTTCATGTAATTTCTTTTAAATTGCTTTAAAACTATGCAAACCTGAAAGACTTATTTTTATGTTATGATACAGTTTATTTGCCTCAATTTCCCTTAAATAGTTCAGTACTTCAGTGTGTTCACTTGCATACAGAAATAAGAATTCTATTTCAAGTGAATTCCTATGTGAAAACTTTAAGTGTGAATAAAAAGAGAAAGTGTAAAACGTTATAAATTTTAACACAAAATAATTAGTGCCTAATATGCAGGAGCTAGACCTAATGTTTTATAAAAATCCATTTTGCTACAAGCAAAATAAGGTTAGAGAAAGCAAAATTCTTACATTTCTCAATAACATTTTCCAATACTAAATGATGACAGAGGATTTTACCCTTAGATGATTGAGCAGGTACCAAAATAAAATAAAAAGGAAAACAAAAGCTTTATGCCTGTTTCTGAGTGTGTTCAGGCAGCAAATACTAGGTTAAGCTGGTTAATATAATTGGAAAGAGGCCAGGCTACTGAGCTTGTTAGCCCAATTATAATTCTCTGCATTTGCAATAAAAGAAGCTAAGATGACAGCAATACTGTCATCAACGTCATGTTCAATATTTGTAAGATTTTCCATTGTCAGCACAGCCCAATTATAAGTCAATTGTAAAGTGCACATAGCACACTGCCCAAAAATGACTAAAAATTTTCTTGAAATACAATTTAACTGTTCATATTTAAAAATGAAAAGAAAATCTAAGACTTGGATCAAAAAAAGTTTCAGATTATGACATCACTATTCTTTACGTTTTTAGTAAATATAGTTAAGTGTTCACTAAAACACGTCAGTTGTTTACACTGTATTTTCAGAGTATTAGTTACATTAAGTCATAAGTAATCATAATTATAGTATTAATGATGTAAAACTGGTGGATATGCATTTGAGGGAAAAAAGCAAGCAAATAAATATCTGAATAGTAATGGGATTTCCATAGCGACTTCCATTTACATGTTAAAGATATAGTGAATGTGAGTCATATTATCAATATCTAAACACTCCAATAGAAACAGCATAATGGAAAAGTACACCTAATTCATTAGGTAACTAAACTGATTAATCAGTGTCACTGTACTAGGCACTTGTCTAATTGTGTGAAGAAGTTTTCACCATTGGCCAGCAACATTTTTGAGAGTTGGAAATTCCACAGCAGCATTTCTTGAAATACAGCACCAGCACTGTGAAAGGTGTGTATTAAACCCCATGGGAGACTACATAAAACTTACATGCATTTTTTCTTCCTTTTTGAACTTTGAAAAATGAAATAAAAATATAAAAAAGAATGCCATTTGCCAATATCTAACCAAAAAATTAATTAATTAATTAATCTAATATATCACCAAAACTATGTTCCAGAGCAGACAAATGAGTAAGTTTCCAGACCACAAAGATACGTGGTCACAAATTTATAACTATATCACCCCACAGGGTGAATCTATGGTAATCAGTGCTGGCTGATCTTGATTGCTTTTTTTTCCTACTTTATTATTAATGCTATCATTTTATGATACAGTTCCATATTCCCTCATCCCCTCCCCAAATCCCTTCCCCCCACCTAGTTCCTCTATATCATTACTAACATATAGTTCTTCATACTCAGTCATATGCCCATCATTTTCTTTCTATTGTTGATTTTGTATCAAGACATTTCATTTAAGGGGATGTACAGTAGCTGTGAAATGGTGACTAAGATCCAGATGTGAGGATGCAGTGTGGTATGCATTTCGGCTTCCAGACAAAGATGGACTTACAACAAAACAGTTTACTATATCCTGACAATAGGATTCTGGACGCTCTGATCTTGATTGCTTTTTACAAAGAAGGAAATCAACAATAGAAAGAAAAATAGAAATTTACAATGCTATGAAGTTAAATAACATATTACTAGATATGACAGTCTCCATTACATAGCTACTTACTATACATCCCCTTAAATGAAGAGCCACAAAACAAAATCAATATCAGGAAGAAAAATGAAATTAATAACACCAAGAAATTAAATAACATGCTACTAAACAACTGACGTGTAGCTGAAGAAATAAAAATCAAGAAGGGGATGTACAGTAGCTGTGAAATGGAGACTAACATCCAGATGTGAGGATGCAGTGTGGTATGCATTTCTGTTTCAGACAAAGATGGACTTACAATGAAACTGTTTACTATATCTTAACAATAGGATTTTGGACTCTCTGCCATTGTCCATGCCCACAATTATGGACATATGACTGTGTATGAAGAACTATAGTTTAGTAACGATATAGAGGAACTAGGCGGGGGTGGGGGTGAGAATTGGGGCTGGGATAAAGGGAAATATCAGGAATCTACTGAACTGTATCAAAAAATGGTAATAGTAATAATAAAATGTAAAAAAAAAACAAAGAAGGAAGTCACACTGATTTGGCAAAAGCAAGTGTCACTATATCTAATTTATCAAATCTCGCATTATTTCAATGTTTAAGACACAAAAAGCTGAATATCTGGTTTTCGTTTGTAGACAGTCATTTTTATCCCTGTCTTTTGTTATCATTATTCTCTGTTGATACAGCATGATTAAATGCACATT